AATTTTGTAACAATGACCAAAGTTTTCACTTGTATTTTCAAAATTATTATCATTATTATTTCTTTAAGTCACTTCTATGGTCCTATTTATGGGACAGAAAGAGAAGAAAATTTATTGTTCTATTTATAAGGCAGGGAGAGAAAATTTTCATATGAATATATAACTTTACCCTTCATTTATTATTGTGTTAACTTTGTTTTCATGAGGTATATTGTATATTAAATAAAGATAAAGTTAGAAAATTGTTGGATTTTAAATGAAAATTAATAAAATTTGAATTTTATTAATCTGTGTGAAATATGTTGGATGTGATTCATAAGATTGGAGGAGGATTATAGTGCTTTCTAAAGTCTTCAATTGTAATATTCTAATCCTTCACAAAACACTTTATATTTTCTATATTTTTCTATGTGTCATTAATATATTTTGCACGTCTTCGATGTCATTTTCCCCAAATAAGACGAAAGAAAGGAAGGCAAAATTAAGTGGAGTTGACTAAGCAAAAAAAGGATATTATTACCACACACAGGAGTTGAGAGACATTGTCTTCTCCATTAAATTACATATTTAATGGAAATATGCTCGCTTAGAATAGTCTACCTCTATTGTACAAATCTTCTGCAGTTACTAGAATATTGTGCTTTTAAATGTGAAACTTGAGAAGTCCATAATATGTAGAGTTTATTCTGTGGATCTATATTTTACAAAAAAAAATAAAAAAAAATAAGCTATAATTATTTGTGTTTTATAAGTAATTAATTTTTTTAATAAATTTTATGTTATGTATATTTATACATACATTACTCGTTAAATTGCCAGAAACCAAAAAAGAAAGCTATTAAAACTTTGAGAAAATTAATCTTTTAGTCTTTATACTTTTAACTTAATTATGATTCAGTTCCTTAAGTTTGATTCATTATAACTCAGTCTCTGAAATTTTAAATTTGTAATGACTCGGTTAAATCGGGTGAGTACTTGAAAACTCATCCGTGTGGCAGAATTGAAGCTGAAATGGCATCTTAATAAGCCACACATGAGATTCTTAACTGGAAAACAGGGGAGGAGCATGAGGAATGAAAAGAGAGTGAGGCACGTTGAAGAAGAGGTCGTCTTCTTCCCTTGAACCAGAGCACGCCGACACTTGTCTGAAATTCATCACTGTTGTCTTCACTGCGCTGCAGGCCGAGCTATCATAGTTCTTCTTCTAACTTGAGTATGATAAAGTTAACAACAAAATCTATCTATATAATAATCTTTAGATGGAGGTGCCAAACTTTAGCGTTCATGGAACCAGTCAGCCACATGCTGTGCTCATTTAAGGATATGCCTCTCATATTGCATACACGTGGTTGCTGCCCAAAGAGTTTGTATTTGGGTGAAAATTACCAACATTGAACCAAAACGCATTGGTCCTAACTCATAAATAACTCAAGTTACCTTAGCTTCAACGCATTTCTCTCCACCTCTGCTCTCTACTCGTGTTCATATTGGTATCCGTGTGTTTTGGTACAAAGATTAAAGGATGAAAAGATTAAATTTTTAAAAAAAATTTTTTACGAATTTTAAACATGGCCATGTGTTGACTCGAAGTACCAGCTGAGTTAATTAAAAAAAAAAAAAACAAGTTTAATTGTGCGCCAGACTTGACCCCGAGAAGTTCATTTTTATAATAATTATGTGGTATGATAGCACTGTTGCTGTAAGTACATTTTCCGCTTTTCATGTTTGCCTGCAAAATGTTTGTAATTGAATTTTAAATTATGACTAAATTAAATGTTAAATAGTTATTTACTATTCTGATTCTTATTATAAGTACTTATAATCTATTTCCGCTACAATAAAATACATTAAATTAGTATTTTTTAAAATTTAACCTTCTTTATTTTTTTTTCCTCTTCCTATGTTTCACCCTTCTCCTCTTTATTATCCCTTTTACACCCAAATTTTTTTTAAAAAAAGATGAAATTAAAAAATAATACTTAAATACTTTGCAACTGACTAATGCGGTATTTAAGATCAAAACATTTTCTTATAACTAACTTATAATGAGGATCAAAGTGGAATTTGCTAAAGCCACCAATGTAAGTAGAGTATCCGAGATCAATGGTCAATAATTACTTATGGACTCAACTATGAGTGAATGTTCATATTGGCATCCGTGTGAAACGATGACCTCATTTTGCAGATATTTTCCGACATGTAATGAGGATTTTTAGAATGGGAATGGGTGTTGGAGCGCACTGCAATTTATGACTCGCGTCGGATAGTTTTGAGTTTTCAAAATTGTCAAAAATTACCACTACTTTTTAAGGCACCTCTTCTATTAAAATCAACATACTCTAATTACCTTAAAATTTTTCCTCAAGTCATCTCTCACAACACAGTTAATAAGAAAATACATGAAAAATAAATAAATTTAACCATATTGAGTTTTTGTAAAGTCACTTATATCTAGGACCATAAAAAGTAACTCATATTAAGAATCATCATAGGGAGTAAACATTTTTTAACTGTTTAAAAATTACTTTCATTTTTAATCTCTCAATAAGAAATATTAAAACAAGTATTCCTCTTGATTATGGTGGCTTGGAGAAAGCAAAATGAAATTTCTCCACGAGAGAATAGCACGTTTTCAAAAGAAGAGATGATGATTTATTTCCTTGCCACCGCAATAGTCATCAATTGGTTTCTGATCTAATCAAACTGAATTTTAAGATCTTTAATTAACTCTATGCGTAAATAGAAATAGAGGATATGGCAAGTGTTTCTCCGACTTAATCATTGGTGTTATTGTGATAAGGTTATGGATGAGGTTGATTGTCACGAATGGATTAAAAATATGTTATTAAAAATGGGTCCTACCATTAATTTGGTATTTATAATTTTAATATCTTAAATTTCAATGTTATACATTTTTGGATCATAGATTTATCCATGTTTCAATTAAGTTCACCAAATTTATCGGGCTAGCTAGCAGTTGACAATAAGATAAAAATTATAAGGGTAAAAAAAACGCTTTACTTTCCTCGTTTTATCTCTTAGTAAGACTAAAAAAAAACTATCAAAAGAAAAAACCTTTTTTTTAACCACAGTAAAAGACTTTTTTTTTTTAAATAAGCATATATATATATATATATATATCTTCACATTAGAGATGATTTTGTTCGAAATATTATTAAGTATTTTTTTCTTAAATAAAAATTCAAATCTTGATTTGTTTTTTTTTTTGGTACAAGAATTTTTGGAAAGGGGTTGGGCTCACCCACGATCCAAGGGCAGGGCGAAATCTCCCTTCCTCCTAGGTCATACCAATGTTGGGCAGGGCGAGTCGTCAATTACCCTTAGGCGTTTACCTAGGCATCCAGGAGCTAGGATACCTCCCCAAGCGCCGCGACTGGAACCACAACAAAGTGGTACTCCCCAGGAATCGAACACATGCCAACTTAGTCATATGTCTCACCCTTTTACTAGCTGAACGCACGGACAATGGGTAAATCTTGATTTGTTATGTCATAAGGAAGTGGCTATTTTCGTTGGACCTACCTCATTGCATGGAATAAACATAATGCCACTTTTGGGCCAGTAGGAACAGAAGGCCTTATTTGAAATAATTTAGGCCGCAGAGACCTCATTTGAATGTTCTGGGCCTCATTTGATGGAATAGGGTATTTTGGTAACATGACTAAGAAAGTCTCCTGGATATTCACACTTGAGCCGCTGAGATCCTGTGGATGAGACTAAAGATCCCGTTGAAAAGGACATATGTGCTGACAGGGGGCGACACAGAGCCGCATCTACAAAGGATGAAAAGGATAATCATCAATTATTAATATGTAACAAATTAACAAAAAAGAAATAAATAAAGTTAAACTAATCTGTGATCATTAAGTATAATTAACCACTACAGGCAGGAATATGGCACTGGAGCTCTTTGCTCTGCCCAAAGGCATTGACACTTCAAATTTATCTTCTTTTTTTTTTAAGCTTAATACTACCTCCAGTACTTAACATAAGATTTAGATAACTAATTTAAATAAATAAAAAAAATAAGTTAAGTTAATTACTTATAACAATTTTTTTAATTAATTTTTTAATCATATGCATTAAAATTATTCTTTAATAGGAATCCGTACAATTAATAAGTATATTTTAAATATAAATTATAAATTATAAAAAATAAAATATATTAAAGATTTTATATTTAGAATCAAAGTTAATCTCACACGACAGGAGGCAGTATTATTTTATCTTATTAAAGGGGAAAAAGAAAAGATGGGATGGTGAGGGACCAATGCGTCACAATGGAACAGTATGTGATTAAGGACATTCACCAAATGCATTATATCATTATATTTTATCAACCATCAATTCTGTAGATTCATTCAGCGTTCACCAATATCTCCATCAAGCATTTTTATTAGTCTGTTTGTTACTTTTCTTCACAAAACTGAATACCATTTGTTCCCGTCGCTTCAATGGGCCTTTTAAAAATGAATGTTTGGATTATTTGAAATAATTTCTTTTCAATCGATGCCGCCTCAAGTGTCCCTATTTTCTTATTAAAATCTTTATTAGTAGTGTTTCTTATGCAACCTTCTTAATATTAATCGATGATAAATTATTGTTTTTTTATAACTTTTAGCCTTCCTATTTTTGTTTTTTAAAGAATAAATATGTTTGTCATTTTTTTAAGTATAAATATTCTTTTATTAGAAACAATCCTATTTAATATATTATTAAATATTAAATGCGATTATTTCTCTCAATAAGAACTTGGCATGTGGTAAGCGGGCCCCATTAGTATGTGCTTTGGGTGTTTGGATAAGTAAGAAATTTTTTTTATTAAAAATACTTTTTGATAAATTAGGATAAATTTTTTTTACATATTTATTTTATATATTATAAAATTACTTTTAAAATGATACTACTATTTCGATATTCATTTCCCTCCCCTTCGTTCACTGTTCTGGCTTACAACTCAAGTGGACCCAGTCAAGGAGATCAATTAATTTCAAAGACCAACACCGATTCAAGTTCATCTTTCTCAAAAATATCGTCTGTCAAGCGTTCACGGACCCGAGAGATCAGAGCAATGGAAGATTCATCGGAGCCTTCTGACTCCACTCTCAGCATCGCCTTCCATCAATCAGAGCCACTTCACGATGCTCTCTTCTTCGTCCTCCCTTACCTTCCTCTCTACGAGCTCCTCGCCATGTCTCTCATCTGCAGAGCGCTAAACGACGCAGTGAACGACGACGTATTGCCGTGGCTGAACCTCGTTGTTGAAGGGCCTCTCAGCTCCAAGCTCACTGATCAGATTCTCATCAGAATCACTGCTAAGGCCAACGGTAGGCTCACCAGTCTAGCACTCATGAACTGCAAGAACATCACTGACATTGGCCTTCTGAAGGTCGTTGAAGAAAATCCTTTTATAAACAAGGTTTGATTCACAAGACCCATTTTTTAGATTTTCGATTTGTTAATTGTTAATTTTCATACCAGATATAATTGGTTGACCAGGGATAAGAGAGGATAGGAATGGTTGTTTGTTGACAATTACACAAGTAGAAGTGAAAACTTTTGTTTCAATGCTTATTTTGGCACAAATTAGAGGAAAATATTGGTTTTTTTTTTTTAATCGTGGGACTGAATTGATTAAATAAATAAACTGGAAAAATAAGATAATGTGAATAGAAAATTAATAGCTAAAGTACTTTATTGCGGAATAAAATTAGGAATCAGAGTAAATAGATCCATCCGGAGTCTGGATTCCCATTTTTATCAAGAGAACACAAGTCATTTTGAGCAAAAACCTCGTGGTCCAATTAACCCCCTCTGTTTTTATCTTTTAATTCACTCTAGCTTCATTCAGAAAAGTGATTTTGAGGATCCTAATTCCCTAACTAGAACTTATTCCCAACTATTGCAAGACTAAGCTATTGTCCCAATTCTGACTTCATTTCATTTCCATGTAGCTCTATATTCCATCATGCACCGGCATAACCCCAGATGGAGTACTATCAGCTGTGAAAATCCTGTGCCAGGGAAGCCACAAGCTAAGCATTCTGAGGATAAATGGCATTTACAACTTAAAGAAGCAGCACATCGACACACTTGCTTCTTACCTTGCAAAAGATCAGAATCAGTCATTAAAGGAGCTTCAAAAACAGCACCCTTTCTACTACCACGAGAGGTTCAATTTTTCTGCCTTCAAGCCCAAAGAAAGCCATCAGATTATTGACTTGCAAACATGTCCTATGTGCTTTGAGGTCAGAATGGTATATGACTGCCCAATAGGGAAATGCAAGAGGAAGGAATGCAGGGCATGCACTTTTTGCATACCACGGTGTGAGAACTGTGGTGGATGCATTATATCACTAGTGGCAGCAGGAGGGGCCGATTTCTTGTGTTCAGAGTGTTGGCTACAGTTTCCCAAGTGTAGTGTCTGCGAGAAGCCATACTGCAAGCAACATAATAACTGGTGGTGCAATGATACAACCCCTGGATTCCTCTTGCGGCTTTATGATGAAAATTTTGTTGATTATTATCTGTACAGTGATATTGTGTTTTAAGAGTTTAAATACACTTTCAGTCCCTCTGATGTCATCATAACTGGTGTATCAATTTGGGGAAAGTTCCTGACTTATATTCGTGTCTAATTTGATAGATACAATGGGTTTTAATAGGATTTGGCTCTTCTGATGCCAGTGCTGATAAAATGCTTTAGGTCATGGAAAAAGAAGAAACAGATCCAATGCATATAACTACTCCTAGAGCCATGCTTTCACTTCAAAAATATTAAAACCATAGATGACCCCAATTCGTGAAAATATGTTGCTTGGCCGCAAAATTCTAGAAGCATTATGAAAGAGCAACAAGTCTGTCCAACATTTTAGACGTAGGGTGTGTTTGGATGAAACCAAACCGTGGTTTGAAAAAGTGATTCTGGAGAATAGATTCTGGAAAAAATAGATTCTGTGAAGAATAGATTTTGTAAAAAAGTGATTCTGAGAAGTGAGAGTGTTTGGATAGTTGTTATCAGAAGCACTTTTTATATATACAAATTACTAAAAAAAAGACATAAGTTAATATGATAATTACAGAAAAAATAGATTTTATGATATATTTTAATTTGAAGAAATAAAATTGTTAATAATATGTTTTTTTACCAACATAATTAATAATACATAAGATAATATAATTAATAAATAATTAATGTCTATATATATTTATAAAATATAAGATTAAATATATTTATAAAAAATATGTTTATAAAAAAAATAACAAGATACATATCATATAGGCCATCACACTCTCCCTTTTTTCTCCAAAAGCAAAAAAATTTTGCTTTTTCCAAAACCATTTTGACCCAAAACCATGGTTTTGGTTTTTGGAGAGGCTGTTTGGGTAGCATTTTCCCCAAACCATGGTTTGGGTCCCCAAACCATGGTTTGGGGTGCTATCCAAACAGAGCCGTAATATAAGATCCTTCCGTTGGCGATTCAGTTGAATGAGAGAAATAGAACAATTGGAGATCAACGGATACAAATCATCAATATAGAAGTTAGTCAATATCAACAATCAATATATATGTATGTATGTATGCATATAAACATTAGTGGAAGCTGCACTATTTATAAGAAGCTATAAATAGTGTGGCTTCCGGCTATCCTGGTGCTTACATGAATGAGGTCAACTGTCTTTGGTTGTTTGTACAAAAATCAAATGAAGACATACATTACAAATGTAAAAATATACATTTTGATGAAACCTATCTCCCTTTAAATCCTCAATAGGAGGAAAACAAAATTGGTTTTTGCAGCAATCTTCCAAATGAAGTTGAAGATCACACCTCCTTGAATCTGATGATCCAATACTATGTGCAGAGAGCAAATCTGGCTAGCTTACATGACAATTGCACTCCACAGTAACATACCGATGACCAAAGAGCTTGTGAAGGGTTCACCATTGTAATAGTATTTTGAAAAGCAGCCTGATGATGTAGAATTAGAAGATGGTGCCATTGACGTGCCATTTGTACCGGTTCTGTTTCTACCACCACTGTTGTTCACAAACAAAGAGAAAGAACAGAAGGAATAAGAAAGAACAGTTCGGCAAATTAAATACAGTCATCTCACAAATGGGAAACTTCGCAACCTTTATTATTGAATAAAGGAATGTGGAAGAAGTAAGTGTGGTGGAGACTTAAAACAAGTATGAGGAACTTGCCCTTGCAAAAGGGACTTGTAAGGAGGAAGAACCATGTCATTTAAATATTACTCCTTCAGTCCTTAATGTAGGACCTAATTAGAGAGTTAATGTTAGTCCTATAAATAAGACTTATTTTATATGTTTATCAATTTTTTTCCAAATTAACCCTATTGATATATCCCCAACAATAAGAGAAGGGAGAGAATTAAGGAAAATGCTTAGGGTGTTTTGAAAAGAACATATCATATTAACTAATTTAACCAACATCTTTAATCTACTTAAATTAATTAATTAGGTCCTACATTAAGGACCGGAGGAGTATTAGAATCACATTTGCTATTCAATATGGATTTTCATCAGATTAAAAAGATGTCAGACATTTTAGAATATAATAACAAGTAGCTTGCACCAATAGTAAACTTGAGATCTTACCTTCCAGGAAAGATACAGGAACCATGACCTGCATGATAAATTGATAATATGACACATCTCAGTTACATCAAAGATGCTACAAACCTTGAATTTGAAACTGCTAATGCAAAAGTCTCGTTAGTGAAACAAATGTGAATCTGCAGAAAAGGCCAATAATGAACAAAACTAATGCAACAAAATTGTCCTCGGGGAGCCTCGTATCTCCACACTTGTAAAAAGATAATATATCAGATGCAAACAATAATTTTTCTTCATTCCTCATAATGATGTCATTGAGCTGTTTTTCTCCCTAAATCTACAAATCTTTTGCATTCTTCTTCACAGGTATTTATCTAAGAATGTACAGAAGATCTCATACTTGGATCTGTGGTGGTGATAATGGCAACGCCTTTGAAATCACAGGTCCCTGGAGATTTATCCATCTTCTGATAATACGCATTGAAAGCATATGTAGCATGTGAAGCTACATTATTTGGTTCATAACATGGTTGACCATGCAGCAAGGGTGAACAATCCACTTTCCCAGGTCCACAAGCCCAATCAAGTCCAGCCTGTAGCATCTTAGTATCCGCATTGTTCTTCACAACACAAAATGTCTGATTTGTTGTATCATTTGCCAACACAGTACCAGCACCAGTCAAATGTAAGACATAAACAGGTTCTCCATTAGGATAAAAAAGCCCCCAGTTCTTTTCTGAGACTGGACCCTGTCTTAAGTCTTCATTATAAAGCTCATAAATATAAGTACTAACTGCAACTCCAGGATGTTTAGGAGTCCCTGTATTGTTAAGCACATGTTTGATCAAGTTGCTATTGTAAGTGTTTGCATTATCAAGAGTTGCATCTGACTCAGATGAGCCACCTTTGGAGGGCCATCCTGACTCAGTCACTAGAATAGGGATATTGGTGAAGTTCAAATATGACATCGCAAAATAAGCAGCATCAACAACAGCATCAAAGACATTAGTGTAATGCAGCAGAGTGTTGCCATCAACAGCTTCCTTATTTGGAGGTAGGGGACGGAATAATGCATAATCCAATGGAATTACACCATTAGCTTGAATGTAATCATAATATGGATATACATTGAGCATGAGGAATGAATCTGTTGATTGCAAAAATTTAAGCAACGGAACCATAACTGGATCCCAAGTGCGATTAAAAAATGCTTGGGAAGGTGGGAAGGAGTCAAGGATGATAGAAGAAGAGTGTGGAGTAGAGACTTTAATTTGCCGATCCAAATTAGCAGCAACTAGTGCAGAGTGAATGAATGTTAGGGCAGAGACCAGGACTGGACCAGCATTCGGGACGGTAGTTAGCACTTCAGATCCAACAGCTATGGAGGTAATGTTGGTTGCAGGAACATGAGCTACAACATTGCGAGAAACCCAGTTTGCTGCAGTGGCATTCGACTGACCAATGGCAAGGATCTGTTCATTTGGAACAGAAATAGACACACGGATTCCTGTTCTGGCAAGTGCAAGAAGCATGGTCTGGTCAGCATCATAAAGTCTGACATGTTGGACATTCTGAGCCTTAAGAAGTGCCACAATCTGTGTCGGACTTGGCATGTCAGTAATCGCTGTACCAATGTTGATTCCAATAAAAGCTTCTGCAGCAAAAATGCAGACACAAATGTAGAATTTTAGAAAACTAAACCATCTAAGAGGAGAAGTTTTGTAATCTGAACAGGAGTGAGACGAAGTAAACATGCCATATTGATAGCAAACTGCACAAGAGATAAATAAAAGAAATGAAGAAAACATAACAGACATCCACAAGAGATAGAAACTTCTGCAGCTTGTATAAGAGGGATTCACTCCCCTGCCAGCTGCAGCACACCCTAAGTGAAAATTCTGGAGCTTGGCGAAGCAGAATTTCATACCATATTGAGACAAAATGGAAAATGAAATAACGGATTATTCTGCTAGTATTCATGAAAAAATATGCATGACCCAAGAGTATTTTAACATACAATCCGACATAGATACATGATCAAATGGTTCATCAAGTTAGTAACATATTCCCCAAGACCAATTGACTCATCAGAGACCTGTGAAGAATCTTCACAATAGTTCATGTTTAATCATGAACCATGACAAATTTCAAGGCAATTTTCTGTCACCCTGGGATTAAACTGAAGTTAAAGCAACAAGTTCACAGATGATAGTCACTTGCTAGGCCGCACATCATAAGAACCTTTTTTACTATGACATATCCAATATACTACAATTTGATTACCAAGCTTGTGACCAACATGAGATTAAGAATTTGATTAACTAATTACCCACCCACACAGTCCAGCAGAATTGCAGGGCTCACAGTGAGATCCTATCATACTCATCAATGCAGCTTAAAGTCTATAGCATCCATTTTCACTATACTGCCAATATTCTTTTTATGTAAAGAAATTGGATACGAAACCCACATCGCATTCAGACATATAATTACAGCAGGACAAACCAATTAAGGAACAAAGATAGGTAGATCAATCAGAAAATTCACTTTCACAGAAGGATATAGAAAGACACTAATAACAGAAGGGAAATACGGGATAACAAGTAACTTACCTTCATCAGCAGCAACAGCGATTGCTATTAGGAAAAGAAGCAGCAACGCAGCCATTGAAGTTCACAAAAGATTATCACTACTAACGAGAACAGGGCCTCCCCTAACAACTTCAAGGAAATCCAGAAGCGAGAAATGGGAGACAGAAGCAATTAAAGATATAGCTAAAATCAGCAAAACGGGAAGGAGCTAGGCAACTTCGAAATTCTAACAGAAGGGATTGAAGGATAAACAAAGGAAAAGTTTGCTCCTTTTGAGACCCTTTGGTGGATTGTGGACTGGGGCGATAGCAACTGGTGTTTTCCGACGTGGATGGTCGGGTCGAGTTGTAGGGAATAGACCGGTGCGCTAGAATGTTTTTTCATAGTGGTCAGAGGGCTATTTTTGTATCCCGTCAATTCATTTTTAATAGTTTTAAGAGGGTCTTATTAATTTATCATGGTGGGGGAAAATGACATAGAATGAATATTAATTAGAATTAAAGAACATCAACTTTTTAATTTTAAATTCTACAAAAAGACTACCGTTCTCAATTAATTTTAAATTTTTTCGATTGATTTGGTTTTGAATATTCATTTATCGATGCCCAACTTTAATTTTGAGTCTTCCTTTTTAATAATTTCATACTCATTTGTATTTATCTATAATATATTTACTCGGTTTTTAATTCTCAATAATTATTTTTAATTGTTTAGCACCGAAAATATTAATAATAAGTATTAAGAAGAGTAAAGATAAGTACTAAAAAAAATCAAATATTAGAAATGAAAAAATCCAATGAAAAATTTATTTCCGACTAGAAATTTTGGTCTTTTCTAAATTTTTAAAATTTATCTTTCTTAATTATAATTAATGTTCTAAAAACTTCTTTAAATGCGATTTGTCCTTATGTTTAGTAGAAAAAAACAATTTTCCATGTACATGAGACAATTAAATGACAATAGCTCCAAAAGCTCATTTTTCCATTATAGCGTACTTAAATACTGTTCTGTTCATATTTATAAAACAGAGAGAAGAAATTTTTTATTCTATCTACAGGGTAGAAAGAAAAACTTTTGATATGAATTATAATTTTATCTTTCATTTATTATTGTGTTCAATATGTTCTCATGAGACATAATATATATTAAATAGGGATAAAATTGAAAAGTTATTGAATTTTAAATAAGAGTTAATGAAGTTTAAAATTTTTTTTTGGTTTGAATGAAAATAGAACCAAAGGAGTAGTAAATCTTACATGAAATAAATGTGTTAATTAACATTCAATGATCTACTTGGAGAGAAGCTTAAAGATTTTTCTTCTTTTTATTGTGTGTCTGAATTGAATTTACGGGAAATTTGAAGTTGACCTAGTTTGCAATACGGTTTAAGGGGATATGTTGTTGATTTCTTTTTCTTTTTTTTGAAAAAGAAAAACCAAGTTACCATATCTCAATACTACTCCGTCCCTTATTATAAGATCCTTTTAATTAAATTGTGCGGTTTAAAAAACAGTTAAAATTAATTAAAAGAAATTAATAAGTAGCAAATACAGTTTTTTTTCCAAATATATCCTTATATATAAATGGATAAATGTGAGAGAGTAATGGTGAGATAAATAAAGAAAGAGAATGTATTAAATACACTAAATTAGGAGTAAAATAGGTAATACTACATTAAATGCTCAGATAAATTCAAAAAGGATCTTATAAAAAGGGACAAACCTATTCAAAAATTGGATCTTATAATAAGGGACAAAGGGAGTACGGTTTACACTGTTGTCAAACTCGCGAGTTCACTCTTTGAGTTTAACATTTTTACGTTTTCAGCTAACAAAATCGTGTCAACTCGTTTTTAAACTTGTGATAACTGTAAACTCGGTTAAATTTACGAGTTCATTTACCGAATTTACTGTTTTTACGTTTTTAGCTTACAAAATCATGTCAACTCGTTCTTAAACTCGTGCTAAATTTTTTAATTTGATTATGTTTAATAACTTTATATATGATTTTTATAGAAATTTTTGTTGTTGAGTATGATAAATTATGAACATTGATAGATATAATTTCAATTATTTGAATTTAAAATATATTTAAATAAAATTGTTCTTATTTTTATATATTAATTATTTGATTATATACTTTTAATATCAGTTAATTAATAAAAATAAATTCTTACGAGTTCACGATTCAAGTTTATGATCCGAGTTTACATTATTATCACGAGTTTGTTTAAACTCGCGAGTTTGACAACCTTGACGGTTTATGGAAAAAGCATGTTGGTGTCTTTAACTATTTCATCTATTTTTACTACTCTTTTTAATGAAAATACTCCCTTTGTCCCATATTATAAGCAACATTGGAGCTCATCACGTAGATCAAAATGTTAGTTAAAATGAGTTATAAAGACAAGAAATGTGTAAAAAGTAGAAGTTCTTTCACTAAAATGTCCTTATTTATGGGAAGGAAAGAGTATAAGAGAGAGAACAAGAAAATTATTATAATATAGAAAATCATGGAAGAGAGAGAATGTGTGATGGAGAGATGATGGTTTAAGAAATGATATAATAAATATATTGAGCATTAAAATAAATAATTAATAAAGGTAAAATAGGGAATTTGTTATAAAAATTTAAGACAACTTGTAAATGTTGCTTATATTTAAAGACAAGAGGAAGATAGTAGTTATTGCTTATAAAATAGGACGGAGTGAGTATATTGAATAGTAGAACATATTTAATGCTCCTATGAGTACCAACACATTATTGTTTAATCTTTCTTAACAGATCGTAAACAATGACATATAACCTAATTAACCCAACCCCATTGGCTAGGGGACAACCCATAGAACTATAAGATCGGTCGTCTTTCATTTACTTTATAGATTATGCTAACCAATTAATTTAGCTTCCCATCAAGCCCTCAATTAAGACCTAAAAACTGCACGCGCGCGTGCACATATATATATTTTATTTCTAGTTCTTAATATAATAAATAATTTGATTTTTAATTCGGTTTTAAATTATATAATATCACGATCGTGAAAGTCCAAATTAATTACCAATTATTCTATCTTTGTTATAGAAGTTTACAGTTGACGGAGTTGCCATTGGTTTAAGGAGACGTGTTGTTGATTTATTTGAAAAAAATAATTTACCATATCTCAATAAAGAAAATGAATAATAAAAATATAGAAGTTTCATTTTAGCTCTATCCTCCTTAAAATTAATGCCCTGCCAGCCCAAAACACGAGATCGTTGCCACAACTTGATGCCTTGGCGCAGGAGCAACGAAAATTTGGAATATAATTTCTCTCACGGTAATTGCTCAGGAAGCAGATACCATTTCATATATTGTTATTTTATATGCCTATCACAATGCCACATTTAAAGTTATTTTAATAGTATCTTTAAAACATTGTGATTCTTTAATTTTACATCATATCCTCCGTAAATATCTTCAACAATATATCTAAGAATTTGGTTGTTGATAGAGCACAATGTCATTGTGTGATACGTGTCCCACCTAGTGGGATAAGGCTTGTTGTTGTTGTATCCTCCGTAAATAGGAACCAAATGAGCAAAACTAAACCTAATTTAATTTATTTCAATTTTTTTATTCAATTTCTATATTTTTGGGTTTGAATTTTCTTAGATACTTAATTGGTGTTCAGTTTTTGATTGGATTATTAATAAATAAAAAAAAGGCATACCAATAAGAGTTGGTCTAGTTAGTAAGGAGTCAGCTCATAATCTACAAGGTCGTGAATTCAAATCCTGCTGATGATGTGAAAACCTTGTTAGTAGGCGATCTAAAAGTATTTTTGTAAACTCTCTTTGAGCCCTAAGGCATGTCTTAGTTCTAGTGAGCCCCCGGGATCCAGCTCACCTAAACTTTCTACTATAAAATAATGATGATGATGATGCATGTTCTCTGTATTTCTATCGTAGTCTAGGTTCAACGGTTATATACTTTTACCATAAAAAAGGTCTAGTATCCAATTTTTTTATTGAAACCTAAATAATATTTAATTGTGAAAGTCCAAATTACTTACCACTTATTACATCCTAGTTATATCTCTTCCGCGTCGTTTGAATTGAATCCGCATCATTCATCATAATCATACGGCATTATTGATTCATGTTTCTGTACAAATTATTGCGTTTCATCATATATAGTTGGAGGCCTTAAATTTCAACCCTTGAACATATATATGTGCGCGCGCGCGCGCTCTTGGCTCTTTAAGTCTAAAAAGAGGGCGGCAAACAACAAAATTATATAGACTCTACCAGTTCATGTTGCACGATGAGAGAAAATTGAGTTTTGGTCCTTCTAAATAATTACTTGCTCCGTCACTTTTTATAAGCAATTTTGGACTCCTCATGTAGATCAAAAAGTTAATTAAAATTCATTGAAACAATAAATCTGTGGGAATTGGAAGTTCTTTCTCCAAAATACCCTTATTTAGACGGGAGAAAATATAAGAAAGAGAATAAAAAATTATTATAATAAAGAAAATTATAGAAGAGAGAGAATGTATGATGGAGAGAGGTGATTGTTTAAGAAATGAGATAATAAATATATTGAATATTAAAATAAGTAATAAATGAGGGCAAAATAAGAAATTGGCTACATAAACTTAAGACAACTTGCAAATATTACTTATATTTAGAGACAAGAAGGGAATGGTAGTTGTTATTTGTAAAAAGCGACGAAGGGAGTACATTTTTAAGGCTATTTATGATTCACTTTACCACCCTTCGATTTTTCTTTTTTCTTATTTGTTGCATCATAAGAATTTGAACTGAAACTGTCATTAATTTCTATTCACATGGCCACTATTGAATAAATACACGTTTTGTTCGCCCTAAAATAAATTAATTACACATTCCATTAGGAGAATCTCATATCGTGTTAAAGTCAGCGCGGTAAATATAATACTCCTCCGGTCCTTAATATAGGACCCAATTGTTGAATTGGTTTTGGTCCTACATATAAGACCCATTTCTCATATTTATCAATTTTCTCTAAATTACCCTTATAGATACTCCCTCAACCATAATTAAGTAGAAGAGAGAGGGGGTATTAACGAAGATAATTATGGTATTTTAGGAAAAATGTGTCACATTTATTATAATTAACTAACTTACCTAACTTCCTTAATATAATCAAATTAGTTAAATGGGTCTTATATTAAGGACCGGAGGAGTATATTAATATTAAACTAAGCAGTATGACCTTTGATAAAAAAAAATCATCCAAACTATGTTTAACTTTA